AGAGAGAGAATGCACAACTATCTGTTTCTCCCTGAAACTGCTCCTTATGATCTTGTACATAGGAGGTACTGTGCAAAAGGGGGGAGGAACCCATTTGATTCTCATAGGTAAATAATAAAAAATGGCAAGTGATTTTGTTTGTGTAACAATTGTGCATGCATTATGTCGAAAATCATCCTTCGCTAAAGGCCAAGGAGACATGACACAGTAAAGGAAGGCGGCCCTTTTGTTCCTTTTTCAAGATGCTGCAATGTCGTGTCCAGAAGCACCTACTTTGTGCGGATGCATTCAAACTTCAGAGAAGACTGTCTCTGTGGGTAGCTTCTCACGCAAGAGCAGAGTGATCTGAGAGAGGCAAAAAAGAACAAGAAAAAGGCCAGTGGATGGGGAAAGAGCTATGTAATGAAAGCCACAGAAAGGATGACAATTGTTGGCCGTCTACCACACACGCTGAATAATGCACTTTCAGTGCACTTTGCAACTGGATTTTACTGCGTGAAACAGCAAAATGCATTTGCAAAGTGATCGCTAAAGTGCCTTGGAAGTGGATTGAAAGTGCATTATTCAGCATGTGTGAAAGCACATCATGGATAGGTAATGTTTTTGGTCCGAGTGCTGAAAAAATGCTGTGTCTGCCTGTGGGGATGTTGGTATAAGAGCAAACAAATGGATTTGTATTGGAGTCAGCTGGTGGCTGTGCAGGTCTTAGGAGGCCATGCCAGGCATAAACCACACCTGCCGCTTTCTCCCATACCATCGACCCCAGCAGTGGTGCCAATGCCTTGCTTGCTTGGGCAGAGATCTGGCCTTGGGTGCCAAGCAAGATGGCCTGGTGGCTAGGGTTGCCATTGGCTGGCAACCAGTGGGAGAGGGAGGGGTGTCGGGACAGGGGGAATGATGATAGGGCAGGGGCCCATCACTTCTGCCTTCTCCCAGGCTGGTTTCTCATGCCCTGGTAAGGCCTTCCAGCACTCTCGCAGATGGGCCTGTAACTGCAGCCTGAGCAAATATGGCTCCTGAAGCACAGGCCCAGTCCTGCCTATCAGCTGCTGCTCCTGGAGCCAACTGCCTTTTATCCATGCCTGCTGACTGTCAGCAAGCTGCCATGGTGTTCTGTGTTGGTGGTTTCTCTGTACAGTTGCTAACCCCCCCCCTGCCTGTGCGCCAGTATTTTACTCTGCTGTAATGCCTAAGCCAAAGAACTGGAGGATGTATTGGGGGAGTATGCTTCACTGCCGGCTTGTTGCTTTTAGAGCCTGGGAACTGCACCTGTATTATGTCTGGAGATAGCCTGGTTCTCAGGGAATGAGCGCGCAACCGTTTCCTTTCACCCGCCAGCGGGAAAGTGACCCATTGGTTCTGTATCTGTTTCAAATCCCTTTATTATGCTTGCCCTAACCGTTTGTAGTCAGTTCTAACAAAGAACGTGTTTGAGTGTCTTTCCAGCACTTTGAAATAAATTTTGCTTTTCTTTAAAACGTGGATTTATTCTCGATGCTTGGGGATCCAACAGGCCTGCAAGATGGAGCTCTTCTGCCGGGCATTTAGCTGAGGCAACAGGCGCCCATATTTATCGGGCCTACCTGCAGTGTTCCAGTGAGTCTGATCTGAATAACTGCTTGGAACTACCAATCTGAATAACTACTCGGTTAGAGGCTCTGTATGTTCTATTTGATGTGTTTTAATCAGTTTTAACTGTTTTTTATATACAATGTATGATGGAACCCGCCCTGAGCCTGCTGTGCGGGGAGGGCGGGATACAAATCTAATAAAAATGAAATCTGTAAAGCACAAGGGCTTTTCTACCCCGGCGGTAGGGTAGCAGTGCACCAAGTGATTCTCAAACTTAACTTGTTTAAATGGTTAGGGACGGTGCCGCTACATGTAGCTTACTGAAGGTAACGTCCCTATTATGGAATTTCTGCACCATTAACTGCGTTGTGTGCATACTTCAGCTCTGCTTCTGTTCAGTGGGGAGGAGCTGTGGCAGATCATCTGCTCGGCATGCAGAAGGTCCCAAGTTCAGTCCCCGGCAACTGCATTTAAAAGGATCAAGTAGGAGGGGATGTGAAAGACCTCCACCTGTGTCCCTGGAGAGCCACTAATTGGAATCTTTTGATCGGGACCTCGCTTATACACGTGTAAGACCTCGAGCTGAGAAGCTGGAAATCTGCTGCCAGCTTGAGTAGACAATACTGACCATCATGGACCATGGGTCTGAATCAATATAGAGCATCTTCTTGGCATGCAGAAGGTCCCAGGTTCAATCCCCAGCATCTCCATATAAAAGGATCAAATAGGAGGTGAGGTGAAATACCTCCACCTGAGACCCTGAAGAGCAGCTGCCCATCTGAGAAGACAGTACTGACCATGATGGACCAAGGGTCTGAATCCGTATAGAGCATCTTCTTGGCATGCAGAAGGTCCCAGGTTCAATCCCCAGCATCTCCATATAAAAGGATCAAATAGGAGGTGAGGTGAAATACCTCCACCTGAGACCCTGAAGAGCAGCTGCCCATCTGAGAAGACAGTACTGACCATGATGGACCAAGGGTCTGAATCCGTATAGAGCATCTTCTTGGCATGCAGAAGGTCCCAGGTTCAATCCCCAGCATCTCCATATAAAAGGATCAAATAGGAGGTGAGGTGAAATACCTCCACCTGAGACCCTGAAGAGCAGCTGCCCATCTGAGAAGACAGTACTGACCATGATGGACCAAGGGTCTGAATCCGTATAGAGCATCTTCTTGGCATGCAGAAGGTCCCAGGTTCAATCCCCAGCATCTCCATATAAAAGGATCAAATAGGAGGTGAGGTGAAATACCTCCACCTGAGACCCTGAAGAGCAGCTGCCCATCTGAGAAGACAGTACTGACCATGATGGACCAAGGGTCTGAATCCGTATAGAGCATCTTCTTGGCATGCAGAAGGTTCCAGGTTCAATCCCCGGCATCTCCATTTAAAAAGACCCAGGTGGTGGGTGATGGGAATGACCTCCCTGCCTGAGATCCTCGAGAGCAGCTGCCAGTCTGATATTGGCCTTGACAGGCCAAGGTTCTGACTCAGCTGCTGGCCTGAGTAGACAATCCTGACTTTGGTGGACCAAAGGTCTGATTCAGTATATGGCAGCTACATGTGTTCTTTCTGGTTGGTTCCAGACTTCTAAAATCCTAATGCATTGGTTATTGAGTGTCCCATTTTACCTGATTGTCCTGACTAACTATAATAATAATAAATAATAATAATCTTTCAATTTATTGATCGCTCAATCCTGCAGAGCTTGCTGGCTCTGAGCGATTTACAGTTACTAATTTTTCACGAGGGACTAACAATGCAATATGGGGTAAGGGAGGACAACATATATGCATCTTAAATTGCACACATTCACAGCCGACGAGGGTTTCGTTCAGATGCAGATGAGACATGATCCGGAACGGCATTTTTCTCGGCCGAGTTTTGATGGCATCAGCTTTCTCCAGACTCCTTGAGTTGTAGCGCCACACTGCCATCGCCTGGCCGGATGGCCCATTACAGGCTTTATCTTAATGCCGAGGAGATCTCTCTAGGCTTTCCGTCATGCGAGCTGGACTTCCGTTCGCCGGCTAACACCGCTCCATCCCACGAGGGGGGGGGTTCAGTGTGCCCACTCTAAGGAGTGGTACCATTTTATCTACTCGCCGAAGCTTTCGAACCGCTGGGTAGACGGTGAGCTGGGGACAAGGCTGGCAGCTCACACCAGCGGGGGGCTAGAACTGACAGCAAGCCTGTTCAGCTCAGATGTTACTATGTTAACCAGAGGATAAATCCTCTGTGCCACCGCTCCCCTACTATGTGTAATTTGCCCAGAGTCCCTGTGAGGAAGGCAGACCATTTGTTTGTTTACTGGGATAAGGTTAAAAATAATAATACAAATAAATAAGGTTAATAAACAAGCGTGCCCTGAGTAGTCTTACAGATTGAAGGCTTGGTTCTGGTGGGGTAGCCATGTCGGTCCGAAGCCACAGGACAAAGTCGGAGTCCAGTGGCACTTTTAAGACCAACAAAGTTTTATTCTGGGTATAAACTTCCATATGCAGGCCCACTTCTTCAGATTCTAAAGAAGTGTGCACAGGGCTATTTTTGGGCGGGAACACACAGGAACGGAGTTCCGGCTGGCTCCCAAGTTGGCCACGCCCAGCAGGAACTCATTAGCATAATAGGCCTCATCCAACAGCATAAATTCATTAGGATTGGCTACATTAGGGGTGTGTGGCCTAACATGCAAAGGAGTTCCTGCTACAAAAATGCCCTGGGTTTTGACAACAGACAAGGTAAACAGAATAACAAGCAAAAGGTGGGTGTGGCTGGATGACCACACTTCTGGTAACATGGAGGTGTGGCCTAATATGCCAACAAGCTGTGCTGTCAGGGGGGTGGCCTAATATGCTAAAGAGTTTCTGCTGTTGGGTGTGGCCTATTATGCTAATGAGTTCCTGCTGGGCTTTTTCTACAAAAAAAGCCCTGAGTGTGCATGCACACCAAAGCTGGTACCCAGAAGCAGTGTTCCCTCTAAGCTGAGTTAGTGTGAGCTAGCTCACAGTTTCTTTAGCCTCTGGCTCACACATTTTTGTCTTAGCTCAGGAAGGATGGCTCCAAAACAAACTTAATTTATGCAGTAGCCAAATCGCTCGCTCACAACTTAAATGCCAGTCGCTCACAAAGTAGAATTTTAGCTCACAAGACTCCACAGCTTAGAGGGAGCATTGCCCAGAATTAAAGTTTGTTGGTCTTAAAGGTGCCCCTGGACTCCAGGATCGGAGGCTTGTTCTAGTAGGTGAGACTTGTGAAAAGCAGGCAAAGGAGTCTTTAAAAGATTTGCCCCCCTCAGAAGTGGAAATGTAATATTTGGAAAAGACTTTTTAAAAAACTTTGGTGTTGTTACAGCCTAACTCTCATTAGCCTTCGGGTGAGTCTCGTGCCATTTTGCTAAGATGCCATTTCTTTTTTGTTAATGCTCCTAGCTGCGTGAGCAGAAGGACGCGGCCAAGGTGCAGGACTTCTTTCTGCAAGAAATCCAGCTGGGCGAGCTGTGGCTGGAAAGAGGTAAGGAGGGGGAGCAGCTGGCTTTGCGCGGCTGGCCGGCGTCCACGCTCTGAATGCCTCAAAAACTGTCGCGTCGCGGCCAACTTTGGTTGTTAGCCAGTTTGGTGCAGTGGTTAAGTGTGCGGACTCTGATCTGGGAGAACCGGGTTTGATTTCCCCACTCCTCCACATGCAACTGCTGGATGACCTTGGGCAAGCCATAGTTCTGGCACAGCTTTTTTCTCAAGGGCAGTTCTGGAAAGAGCTCTCTGAGCCACACCTACCTCACAGGGTGTCTGTTGTGGGGAGGGGAAGGGAAAGGAGTTTGTAACTGTAAGCCCCTCTGAGACTCTGAGTGAAGGGTGGGGTATAAATCCAATCTCCTCCTTCTCTTCCTCCGACCTCGTTGGGTTTTTCCAAGGCAAGAGATGGTCAAAGGTGGTTCGCCATGGGTGAGTAAAAGGAACTTCTATGTTCTGAAGCAGTCAGCCTCTGAATCCCAGTGCCAGGAGGCAACATCAGGGGAAGGCCTCGGCCTCTGTGCCCTGTTGTTGGCCCCACAGAGGAACTGGTTGGCCCTTGTTTGAGACAGGATGCTGGGCTAGATGGACCACTGGTCTGATCCAGCAGGGCTCTTGTGATGTTCTTATGAAGACCTCAGCCTCTATGCCCTATTGCTGGCGCTCCAGGGGAATTGGTTGGCCACTGTGTGAGACAGGAGGCTGGACTCGATGGACTGCTGGTCTGATCCAGCAGGGCTCTTCTGATGTTCTAATGAAGACCTTGGCCTCTGTGCCCTGTTGTTGGCCCTTTAGAGGAACTGGTTGGCCACTGTGTGAGACAGGAGACTGGACTAGATGGACCACTGGTCTGATCCAGCAGGGCTCTTCTGATGTTCTAATGAAGGCCTCGGCCTCTCTGCCCTGTCGTTGGCCCTCCAGAGGAACTGTCTGGACCTCATGTGAGACAGGATGCTGGACTAGATGGACCACTGGTCTGATCCAGCAGGGCTCTTCTGATGTGTGAATCACCTCTGCTTCTCACTTGCCTTGAAAAGCCCTCTGGGGTCGCCTTCAGTTGGTTGTGACTTGACGGCACTTACCTACTGTGGCAAGAGGGGATGTCGTGTTTTTTTGCCCCACAGCAGGCAGACTGATAAGGAAACCAGTGATAAGGAAACCAGTGAAGACCGGCCACGGTACCTTTCCCTCCCTCAGACGGTTAGGAGCAGCCTCCAGCTGAGGATCTGGCTCCAGCTGACACAAGGACCGAGGCCGGTGGGGCAAAATGCTAATTCTATCCAATGGGATAACGATCCTACAGACTGGGCTTTAGGAATATAAATTCATTACAGGAGAGCAGAAGAAGGCCATCGAGCACCTCACCAACGCAATCTCGCTGTGTACGCACCCGACCGAGCTCATGAACGTCCTGGAGCAGACTCTGCCGCCTCAAGTATTCGAGATGCTGGTGCACAGAATTCCACACGTTACGCAAGTAGGTACCTGTCACGGCTCAGGTGGGGTGTCACCTGACGCTGCCACCACTCTGGATTTCGGTTCCCTTGAGAAGGCCCAGAGCACCCTCCCAAGACCTTCAGACCTCCCTTTTGGCCAAATAACAGGCATGAGGACCAGGCAGAGTGAAACAAGGAAAAGGTTTATTTTATAGGAGGTCAAACAACAAGGTGCAGAATAATAGCAGTAAGTGGGTGAAAAGAAATCAAATGCCCTAACGCGTCTAAATATATACTGTCCGTAGCTCACTATTCCAAGTGACCCTTCCCTCTGGATGAGGGTTTCTTCCTGCAGCAGCCTCTAGGGTTGCCAAATCCTTTGAACTCACCAGCGGGGGAGGCTCCGTCCTGGCCGGGAGTTTGTCTGTCGTCCTTGCGCGCGCGCGCGCGCCGCTGCGACGTCACCGGAAGTGACGTCAGACGTCGCTGATGTTGGGGGCGTGGCCGAGCTCGTCAGGGGGGAAACATATGGTTTTCCCCCCCGACGAGCTCAGCCACGCCCCCAACGTCAGCTCTCAGGGGCTTCTGGGAATTGTAGGCCCAGCCTCACCTACTGCTAGCCAGGCTCCCTGGGCCTAGTAGGCCTCTGGTGGCACAGCCCAGATCATGACAGTACCTTTAAAAAGCAGAGGAATCGCAATGTAGAGAGCTCGGTGACCCGGGTGACTCTCACACATCGTTTCCAGGTCTTTGATGAGGCGAAACTATCATCGGCCTGATTCGCATATAGATCAACACGCTTGCCACACCCACTGAGGGAGGCAATGGAAAAGATTCGAGAAGGACGGGGCGCACAAGTCCAAAGCTTGCTCACAGAATGCTAAACCGGGGTTTAGGGTTACAGGCAAACCGAGTCAGCCTCTATCAGTGTTGGGGGGGGGGGGTGAGGGCTTTCGGATCCGCTCATGGTGTATACAGGCCCCTATCAGCAGGTACAGATTGGCCATTAAGGCGACCGGGGTCCAGCTGGGCTGATGTCCTAGAGAGGGGTAGTGCTCCTCCTGGGAGCTGCGGCGGCGGCAAGCCCATGGCCCTCACCCTGCGTGGGTTGTGTGAACATTGAAGGGACCTCCGGGGTCATCTAATCCAACCCCCACACACAATGCAGGAAATCCACAAATACCCTCCCCCTCCACACCCCCAGTGACCACTGTTCCACGCCCAGATGATAAAAAAGTTTCCAGGATCTCCAGCCAAACTGGCCTGGAGAAAAATGGCTTCTTGATCCCAAAGTGGCGATCTGCATTTCCCTAGGCGTGTGTAAGAAAGGGCCAAGAGAACTAAGCACTGAGGCAACCCTTCCTGCCCTCCCTCTCGTGATCTGCCTATGTTCACAGAGTTGGCATTGCTGTCAGATGGCCTCGGTCTGAAAACCTCCAAAGACGCTGTAGAGGGGTGAGCCCCCTATTTGGCTACCACGAGCAACCTGTTGGGAGATACAATTGGCCGTGCAGCTCAAAGTGGCATCGTCCCAACAGCGACTGCCCACCACGGCGTTCATCGTATTCTCTCTCACTGCTCTTTCCCCAGTGTATTCTTTAAATTACTCCTCTTTCCCCGTGCGCGTAGGCGTCCTCTGTGTACATGGGTTCACATCCCGCAGTGGCCGTTTTGTGGCTGCGCCCACTACCCTGGGTCAGAATTCCAGCGGTGCCCAGGCTCAAAAAGGTTGGGGACCCCCTTGCCTAGAGAGACTTTTGTAAGCGGGGCCTGCAAGACGGAGCTCTTCCACCAGGCTTTCAACTAGGAGCCGCCCCCACTACTACCAACGAGCCAGCCCGTAGTTTTAACATTTTGCCTCTACCACTATGCTCAGGAAGATCATTGAGTGGCAAACTGTCTGGCGGTATGGAATTTCCAGCAGGCCATCTTATGTATCTAATGTATCAGCGCCAGCACTTTATGAGATTCTGTATTGTTATTGAATGTTAAACTGTTTTTATGTGAATGAATGGTCACTTACAGACCAGTTATGTAAGCCGCCCTGAGCCCGCTCGCAGGGAGGGCGGGGTATAAATTAAATTATAAAAATAAGCAAATTTGAGAGATGGCGCAATAATTTAAAACATTAGTATGTTAATCCCAACCGCACAGGCATCCAAGTGGTCATCTTTCCGTAGTTTACTGTAGGAGCAGTCCTCCTCTGTGGAGTGGACTGAAGTACAGGGACGTGATAGAGGTTTATAAAATGAGGCCTGGGGTGGAGAGAGTTGACAGAGAGAACTTTTTGTCCCTCTCCCAAAAGACAAGAACTTGGGGGCATCCAATGAAACGGATGGGCAGTAGGTTCAGGACAGACAAAAGGAAATACTACTTTACCCAGAGATTAAGACGTGCAATTCATCGACAGAGGATGTTCTGATGGCCACAGGAATAAACAGCTTGAAAAGGGGATTAGAGAGAGTCATGGAGGATAAGTCTATCTGTGGCTACTAGCCATGGGGACTGAAGGGGATCTCCACATTCAGAGGTACTAAACCTCTGAATCCCAGAACCAGGAGGCAAGATGAGGGGAAGGCCTCAGCCTCTCTGCCCTGTTGTTGGCCATCCAGAGGAACTGGTAGGCCACTGTGTGAGACGGCTTCTAGAGAGGACTGGATCCATTGGTGGCTATTAACCACAAGGTATAGATAGAACAGTACGTCTGGGGCAGCGATGCTCTTGGTGCTTGGGGGGCAACTGTGGGAGAGCTTCTGGAGTTCTGGACCTCCCGAAGGTACCTGGTTTTTGACCACTGTGTGACCCAGAGTGTCGGCCTGGATGGGCCATAGGCCTGATCCAGCACTGGCTTCTCTTCTGTTCTTATGATGCTGGACTAGATGGGCTACTGGTGTGATTCAGCAGGGCTCTTCTTCTGTTCTTAATGAAGTGAAGGGCAGAGGTTTATGCCCAGGAAAAGAAAGGAAGTCTAGTCAATTAAAAACAAAATTTATAAAGCCAGCACTCAGAATGTCTTTTGTGTGTCAGCACTCCCTCAGACTACTGACAAGTCTGTTTTCTCTGAAAGACAAAAAATTGCTGCAAACGTGCACACAGAAGTAAATTACACTGAAGTAGATTTCATGATGTATGATCTTTATATTCAACAGGTAAACAGACTGGCAGACGAACTTCTCGAGTTGATGCTCGTTTCGAAGTGCCTTTCTCAAATGAGTCTCAAAATGGTCTTCTCCCAAAGCTATATAGCTACAAGACTTATTTGTCCATTTGAAATGTTATACTTGTAGCTATATAGCTTTGGGAGAAGACCATTTTGATTCAAGATTCCATTGTCGACTTTATTGCACATGGATAGAAAATTGAGACTCATATAAAGATCACACATCATGAAATCTACTTCAGTGTAATTTACTTCTGTGTGCACGTTTGCAGCAATTTTTTGTCTTTCATTGTTACTACATTGCTGTTCCCATTGTTGTCATTTAAGTCTGTTTTCTCTCCCAGCGGCTTGAGGCAGCCCTGCATGAGCAGGATCCGCCGGACGAGTGAGAGCGCGGTGTCGCACCCGGGGCTACCGTCAAGGTGGACCACAGGAAAGGCAAGGAGCCCTCCTCTAGAAAGACTCTCTGCACAACAGTAATTTCCATTTATTTCACTTTGATTCAATTAAAAAATAAACGTCGCTTTAGACACTTTGGGATTTAATTTTCAGAGCGAACGTTGCCCGTTTTCAAAATGAACAGTCATGGTTAACGGAGGAGGAAAAGATCACAGAATGGCGGGTCGTATCCTGCCGCTCTGCTTGCGACGGTGCGTGAGCGGAGGGGCAGGATGCAGCCCGCCGTTTGCTCCCTCCCCCATCTCGGGTCCAGTAAGTAGCAGAGCCAGTCCGTAGGCTGTATCAACATTATTCCACTGCGCAGGAAGAGGACGCTCTAGGAACGGCTCGATCAGCGCCAAGGCTGCACGTGGCGGCAGCCACCGATGATTTCCACATTTCGATGGGTCTCTGAGCTGTTCCGTTCCAAGCCAGTGGGCCTTCCCACCGCACCTGTCGCGACAAACGCACCTTCGCACGCAATGCAGTCACCGCCGGCACTCCTTCCTTAACGTGGCTGGCCAAGAAGTCCGGCTTTAGCAGCCAACGCTTCGTTCTGCAGGATGTGATACTCCTGGAATCGCATCGATATCCTCTGAGTCATTTTTAAGTACTTCTGTAAGCAGTGCTCTGCGCAGGTCATCTGGAATGGTGAAGGGACAGAGGGGTATGAAGAGTAGTTTGTAAAGCTATCTTTAACCTAAACCGGTGAATTACGTAACTGTTAATCCTAGTTTAGGTGGGAAAACAGAGTCCAGTGTGTGGTCCCCCCAGGCTTCCCTTTGAGATGGAGGCCAAGCTGAAAATTTAAAAGAAGGAGAAGGAGGGGGAGGGGACTGGATTTATACCCCGCCCTTCACTACCCCAAGGAGTTTCCTTTCCCTTCCCCTCCCCATAAGAGACACCCTGTGAGGTAGATGGGGCTGAGAGAGCTCTCTCGAGGACTGCTCTTGAGAGAACAGCACTGAGAGAACTTGTGACTGACCCAAGGTCACACCAGCAGCAGGAGTGGGGAATCAAACCCAGTTCTCCCAGATAAGAGTCCATGCTCCTAACCACTACACCAAACTGGCTCTTACTTGACTAAATGATTAGGACTTGTGGTCTATACTGTTTGGTGGTCTATACAGCTTGATGTAGTGGTTAAGAGTGATTCCCCACTCCTCCATGTGAAGCCAGCTAGGTGACCTTGGATCAGTCACTGCTCTCGCAGAACTCTCTCAGCCCCACCTACATCACGGGGTGTCTGTTGAAGGGAGAGGAAGGGAAGGAGATTGTAATCCATTCCGATACTCCTTCGGGGGTAGTGAAGGGCAGAGTACAAAGCTAACTCTTCTTCTCCGTTGTGGCGTGCTTGCTATTCGGGGAGACTGTTTTTCCTTTAAACTACCCTCTGTGTATATAAACTTGGTAGTTTTCTGCTGCCACCAGGAATTAAACATTCCAATTCTCTCTCATTTGGTCATATGACCCAGTGTCTGGGCACGTCAAAGGACTATGTGGCCCTGAGGAAGGATTGTACTGATTTCTGGGATATGCTTAAACATTAAATTGATTGATTGAATAAAGAACAAAATAATTTTCCGGTTATCTTGAACCGTTTCTGGAAAAAGGAACGTATAAATATCACTGGCAAGGTGTCACACACAGTCTCTCGGACACAAAAATCCCACGCTGACAGGCTTCTCTCTCTCATATAGGTAGCCACCATGGCTAAGCTCTTTGTCTTAGGCACACAAGATTAAACATTTGTCTAACCACACAGTTTAGACACTACTTGCTTCTTTGCTATAGACTCTCTCACAAAACGTTTAGAGTCACACAGACTCTCTCCTTCGCTCTTTCCACACTTCACTTTCCAAAGACGCATACACAGAACTCTGTCATCAAAACACACACACAGATTCCTCTCAGAACACCTCTCCTCCCACACTCTCAGTCATCAGCCAATCACAGCACCCTCATCTCCTAGCGTCCTCCTTGCATTACTGCAGTCAAACTCAACATTTAAAGACACACACACACGCCCCAAAACATGGAATCATTACATCCGTCTTATAGCATATCATCGGCAATGTTCCCTCTAAGCTGTGGAGTCTTGTGAGCAAAAATTCTATTTTGTGAGCTACTGGCATTAAAGTTGTGAGCGAGCGATTTGGCTACTGCATAGATTAGTCTGCTCTGGAGCCATCCTTCCTGAGCGGAGACAATAAATGTGTGCGCAGGAGGCTAAAGAATTGTGAGCTAGCTCACACTAACTCAGCTTAGAGGGAACACTGAATTCATCGGTAGGATGTTATTATGTCATTTTTGTTCTTTCTGGGGGCTCCAGACTTCTGATCTCCTAATGCAGGGGTGGCCAAACTTGCTTAACATAAGAGCCACATAGAATAAACGGCAGATGTTCAAGAGCCGCAAGACACAAACAACTATTACACATGTTTTTACTAGGAAATATGCAAATTTGCTTTTTATTAACATGAAATGAGACTGCCAAAAAGAATAACAAAAGCAGTAAAAGCAGATATTGATAATGATATTTATTTGCTAATGATATTTAGTTTCCCCAGCCGCCCTGCCAGGAGCCACACAATATGTGTGAAAGAGCCGCATGTGGCTCCTGAGCCACAGTTTGGCCACCCCTGTCCTAATGCATTAATTACTGAATGTCCCATTTTGTTGTTTGTACCGACTCACTCTGGGCGCTTTCACACACACTAGATAATGCACTTTCACTCCACTTCCATTGCGCTTCGCAACTTGGTTTTACTGTGTGAAATGGCAAGATCCACTTGCAAACCATCACTGAAGTGGATTGAAACAGCATTATTTAGCCTTGCTAAAGCGCCCCCCCCCCGTGTCATCCGCCTTTGTCTCTGTGAGAAAGGCAGAAGATAAATAACATAAATAGCTGTTAGAAAGCTAAATAACGCAGAGAATTCTGTCCAAGTCACACGGTTTGGAAGAGCCCTGTTTGGGGGCGGATCTCCCAAAGCACATGGCTGCTTTCAGAAACAGAATGCTGCTTGGATTGGATGGACACTTTGTCTGCTCCATTAAGATTCCATATTCTCGTGTTTATACTTGATTTATCACCCCCCCCCCACACACACCGAGAACGACAAGGAAGAAAAGATACATGTGTGTGTGGGGGGGTGGTTGTACAGGTTGGCTTTATCCAGCCTTTTTGGTGCAATCGCAACTACAAATCTAAAATACTTGGGAAAATCCACATACCTCTCCTGAACTGACTTCTCTGCTGGTGAAATCTCTCACACAATCCAAAAAGCAGTTTTCCGTCAGCTTGTTATATGTTCCGAGGAATTCTTTGAACTGTGAACAAACCAAAGAGACTTTCAGCAGTGGGTGGAGTGATTCCTTCCCCCCCCCCCCGAGAAAAAGCAAAAGCTAGAGTGGACAGGGAGAACAACTGAAGAAAAAGAGATCGGACTTATACCCCGCCCTTCACTCAGAGTCTCAGAGCATCTTACAACCTCCATTTCCTTCCCCTCCCCACAACAGACACCCCTGTGAGGTAGGTGGGGCTGAGAGAGCTCTGAGAGAACTGCTCGTGAGATAATAGCTCTGAGAGAACATGACCAGTATTCCCTCTAAGATGAGTTAGTGTGAGCTAGCGCACCGTTTTTTAGCCTCCGGCTCACACATTTTTGTCTTAGGGAGAATGGCTCCAGAGCCAACTAATTTATGCAGTAGCCAAATCTCCCGCTCACAACTTTGCCAGTAGCTCACAAAGTAGAATTTTTGCTCACAAGACTCCACAGCTTAGAGGGAGCACTGCTTGTGAATGACCCAAGGTTACACCAGCTGGCTGCATGTGAGGTAACACTTGCTCATCAGAATGAAGGGCACGTAAACTAAACAGCCTGTTCTGGGTAGGCAATTGCAGGATTTGGTACCACAGTGAACAATCATCTTCCTTAAGGACTGCCATCCAAGTTGCCAAGCTATGAAACAGTGTTTCAAAAGCACCCATTAGCAAATGTTGGGTTAGATAAGGGGCCCCCAACACGATGCCTGTGGGCGCCACAGCCCCCGCTGACAGCTTTCCTGGTGCCGACTGTTTTAAGAAAGTGGGTGGGCTGGGGGGGCCTTTGCCCAGCAAGACTTCTC